TGTAGGGAAGAAAATTGTCCTTGTATTTGACTCTCTTCTCCTCCCCTTGCTGCATTGGAGGCATAAGTTATTTGACGTAATGGCCTTCTGTTCTTTAATGCCTGACATCTCAGTTTTGGAGATGAATAAGGAATGTCCTTCTAAGAATAAAATTGCTTGGTAGCCACTTCCTAGATGACCTTACAGAATCTCTGTGAGGCTATACTTAAGGAAACATGGTGCATGCTCTTCGTGTCTCCAAACTCATCCCCAAAGGCACAGTGGGTTGGAGTGATGGAATCTTCCCGAAGGAGAAAAGGATGGGGCAAATATCCATGCAAACAGCATACAGAACCAGTAAAGACAAGGGGGAGCTCCCCTCCCAGTCTAAAAGCTTTTACAGCTGTGGAGTTCAGCCAGGCTGCGTGCCTGAGGCTGTGCTGGGTTACAGAGGAAAACCCATCTCAGCTGGATACGGAGAAGATTGTTCTTGGTGGAGAAGTGCTCTTTATAGCTACATTGTACGCCAGTTCTATTACACACAGCCCCAGCATGCCAGTTTGTCTCGTGAGTGACAGGACTGAAATATTTTGTGCAGCAGTTCAGTCTGAAAAAAAGAAAGAAATTGTTTTTAGCAGTTGGAAGAAGCAAATGGGCTGATTGCTTTCTGAAAGTATAGGAGTGGTTTAGCTGACTGACCTTTTCAGATACTACTTTTCATCTCAGCTATCCTGGAAAAAATGTAAAACAAATTCATAAACAAAATGTAGTAAGAGATGATTTGCATTTGGATTTGCAAACATGAAAGCCCAAGATCCAAGTGGACACTTATAGCAGTCAAACTCCCGGCAGGGCATATTTAGGTTTAAAATAAACTATTCCAAGGTTGATGGTATGTTGTGGTTTAAAATATAAACCTTTTTAATATAGATGGCAATAAATGATTTACCAAGTTTGCAAACTCTACATTTCCTGCAGTTCCACGTGGTCTGTAAATGTGATTGTAAAAGTAACAGTAGCTATGGGTGCCAACAGCCAATGAACTCTGTTAGGTGACAAGGATATTTATTGTATGACTTTTATGTCACACAAAGGGCCAGAAAATAAAGAGTAGTCTGTTACTAATCTGCTGATGCATCACAACTTTATTACAGTAATTATTACAATGTACTTAAGCAATGCAAGGAAGCATTTCCCCTTGTCTTATCTCACCCAGTTTAAGAATTCATCTTAGGTGTGACTCTCAACTATGAAATTGCTACTTGTTTTTGATTCTGCCATGAGAATTCACTTTGTGGAGAAAAGAAAGTATTTGGCATTAACTCAATTAGACCTTTGCAGTGTTAACTGGCTCTGGCTGACACCTAAACTCTTCAGGATCAGGATAGAAGACTTCTTCAGCTGCAAGGTATTTTCACAGAAAACTTTGCTTAGCTCAGTAAATGCACAAGCATGTAAATGGCAACACACAATAGTTCCTTAAGCATTTTGTCTTAAATTCTTTGCATAGGTTCCATACTTATAATGGGATTCCTTGAAATGCCATCTCAGATTCTGAAGTGACAACAGTGGTTGGTTTTGCTTCTTCTGTGTTGAGATTATTTTAAGCATTATACTTAAAGGAATGACACAATATGTACACTATTTGTGGCATACTTGAATGGAGGGTTTTTACCCAGGGGAAGGGGGTCTTTTGCATTCCTGTCAGAGCCATGAAAATGTCATAATTTCTTTCCTTTATATTTCCCACCATTCTCCTGGCAGAGAAGGAATAACTGAGAGACCTAACAAGGGAGTTTTTCTATTGGTTATCTAATCTGATTTGGCTATGGTAGTCATTTTAATGGCCCTCTTTACAAAAGTGAGTCACAAAGTTTTGTGATTTGAGTAAGAGGTTTCTCAATATGCAAGGCCAGAACTGCTGACTTGAGGCCTGGTAGGTTGCCTATCATGACAGTACTAATACTCAGCTTTTGGAAACTGCAGGAGAAACTGAAATGTTACAAATTTTTTGTTGGATTTTTTTCCTTTTTTTTTTTTGCTTTGGTGAAGATGTAAGAAAGTTTTTAGTGGTTAGGATTGGGATAGTTTAATGTTATGATGCTTGCAAAATATAATTCAGTTAAAGAATGGCTTGAGGGACAAATTGAACTGGCACTTGCGTTATATGTAATTATTTAAAAATATACATGTGGATAAAAATTTATATATTTAATTGTATGCCTCTCCCCCAATCCTCTGTGTGCCTCTTGTCTTCTTGAGCCCTAATCCTACAAATACTCACACGTGATTAAGATATTCTACATGTGAATAGTCCCATTGAGTCTCTTGGGACTCCTTATATATGTAAAATTACTTACGTAAGTGTTTTCAGGTTCATACAATTAAAGCCTGAGCTATACACAGTTTTTGTACTCCTACAACTACACTGGGCTAGGTGCTTTGATTTCTACCCCTTTCCTCTTCCTTCCTTCTCTTCCCCCTTCTCCTTCCCCCCACCAAAAAAAGTTATTAGTGTACAGCTCCTTATGAGCAAAGACTAAAAGAACTAGGGCTTACATTTTAAAATATATTTTG